ATCCAGGCACAATTGAAGGTATCCAGACTTTTTTCAACACAGGTCTTGTAGTGAAGAACTCAGAAGAATTGGCCGAGAGACTCAACAGATGGTACTTGAGGCTTTGAAGACTGAAGGCAAGCTGGATGGCTTACTGGCCTTGTGTAGCAGTGGCAAGTTTTTCTATTTAGGTGGGTTTTACGTTATCTTTTGTTTGCTAACCTTATTATGGACTTGTGAATATTTTAGATTATGATGCTGAAAATGGTGGAAGAGATCGAATTGATTTAGTGCAGCCTGGTCAGCGTATTGCCAAGGATGTTTGGCATGTAAATATGGAAGTATTGGAATCCCTGCATGACAATCTTCGTCAAAAACATTGCAGAACATGGATGAACTGGAATTCAAATATTGTGGAATTACTACAGAGATCCTATTGTTATACAAGGATGACAGCTGAGGAAGTAGACTCTTTGATCCAGCGCTGGGAAGGATTGGTTGCCAGGGGTAAGTCAACCTGGGAGCGTATTGTAAATGCTGAAAGTGTAGAATCAACAGCAGTGGATGAACTCGAAATTTTGGAGGAGATGCTGGATGGGGAGGATGAAGCAGAAGAGCTTCATCACCAGGTGGATCAGCTGGACATCACGGATGCAACCTCTGATGAAGAGGATGTTTGGAGTGAAAGTGGGATGGATGGTAGATATGATTAATATGGGGTATTAAGCGTTTTGTTTCTCTTCTTTGTTTTAGAATACACATCATCAATCTCTTGGTAGCCTCTCATCAATTACGTTCTATACCTGTGGATCTTACATAATGATTAAAATTCAGAGTACTCTCATCTCTACATTTCTTCACATATATGTGATGTGTATTCACATATATGTGATATGTATTCACATATAGGTGATGTGTATTCACATATATGTGATGTTCATTCACGTATATGTGATATGTATTCACATATAGGTGATGTGTATTCACATATAGGTGATGTGTATTCACATATATGTGATGTATATTCACATATATGTGATGTGTATTCACATATATGTGATATGTATTCACGTATATGTGATATGTACTCACATATAGGTGATGTGTATTCACATATAGGTGATGTGTATTCACATATATGTGATATGTATTCACATATAGGTGATGTGTATTCACATATATGTGATGTAATTCACATATATGTGATGTGTATTCACATATATGTGATGTTCATTCACGTATATGTGATATGATTCACATATAGGTGATGTGATTCACATATAGGTGATGTGTATTCACGTATATGTGATGTATATTCACATATATGTGATATGTATTCACATGTAGGTGATGTGTATCACATATAGGTGATGTGTATCACATATATGTGATATGTATTCACGTATATGTGATATGTACTCACATATAGGTGATGTGTATTCACATATAGGTGATGTGTATTCACATATATGTGATATGTATTCACATATAGGTGATGTGTATTCACATATATGTGATATGTATTCACGTATATGTGATATGTACTCACATATAGGTGATGTGTATTCACATATAGGTGATGTGTATTCACATTTATGTGATATGTATTCACATATAGGTGATGTGCATTCACATATATGGAATGTGTATTCACATATAGGTGATGTGTATTCATAAATAGGTGATATGTATTCACATATAGGTGATGTGTATTCACATATCTGTGAATACAGATGATAGATATTCACATATATGTGAATGTGTATTCACATATATGTGAATGTGTATTCACATATATGTGAATGTGTATTCACATATATGTGAATGTGTATTCACATATATGTGAATGTGTATTCACATATATGTGAATGTGTATTCACATATATGTGAGTGTGTATTCACTTTAACATATGCGGGAATGTATTCACATTGAGGTGAAATATGCTCTCATATATATAATTACCTATATATATGTGATATGAATTTGGATCCGTGACTAAGTCTTTACGTGACACGTAATTGTAAAGGGGTGATTGGAATTGATTCACCTCTATGTGATTCACGTTCACATCAGTGTGAATCTAACACTTTTCCTTTATGCAAAATTCACATGTATGGTTCAGATGTATGTCATCACATATGTGTGATTTTGATCCGTGATCCATGTGAATGACATTCACATCAGTGTGAATTTGATTCCTGGAATTTTGCGTGGATATATGTTTTCCTGGACCATTTGCCAATATGTGGGCATAGATGGTGTTACAGGTCCTCACACGTCATGTAGCGGTGGATGAAGTACTTAGCGGTGAGTTTTAATCCGACGCGTCGGGGCGGCGGCGCGTCGGACAGGGGGGTTTTGACTATAAGTCGATAGGAAGTACACATTTCCTATCGACTTATACCCGACGGGTCGGGTAGGCACAGGTGTGCTCATATGCCTTGTTTGGGCTGCGTGATGCCACAATCAACGATGCCTTTCTCAACAACGCCGGTAAATTTGAATTTGTTTCATTTTTACGACTCGGTCGAAAAGACAGCAAGTGTGGGGACGCATAGTTGAGGCTTTGGATAAATGCCTGGGACGATACCACACTTTGCAGATTGCTGCTTATACGCATTAAGTTTACTCGTCGATACAAACTTCTTGGAAACCATTTGGCTCATGCTGCTGTGACACCTACAAGCTTACTTTTGGGGATACAATGATACTCTGCTTTTTATCACGAGCAGCTAAGATTTGTTTTAATGTCATGATGATATAGGCATACAAAGGTTTTTGGGTAAGGGCCCGTGAATCTTGGAGTGAGCCACAAATCTAAAAGAGAATGCTATTGCTTTACACTCTAATATGTCGTATCAAGTGTTGCAACGAAAGTATTGGATACACTGTCAATTACCTCTATCATTTTTAAAATTCAATGATGTTATATTTAAGCGATGAGTAGGAATTGTGAGCGGTGAACGCTGATTGGCCGCAAGATTGGCTGAATACTGAGCAACAGGCTTTGTGCAACGGTTGCACACGGTGCTTAAAGCCCATGAGTAACTCGTTAAAGTTTAAGTGATTCGACTTGCTTGGAGCAGATCTCGTTAGCGATCATGTTGGCACATGAAAACTGGAGGCGTATTGCAGGTTGAAAAGCTTGGTTGAGTACGCGGCGAACCTTGAATAAAGGCAGATGATCCACGCTCAGCGCGATTGATCGCCACATAGTTTCAGGCGATATGGGAACAGATTTCCATGACTCTTCTCGAGGCGATCAGTGGAAGAACGAAGCTTTCGTTAAGATAATAAGTTGTTATCCTGGATATGCAATTCCTAATTGCTCTTCTTATAACATAGTGCTTGAAGCGTTGGTAGGATTGAAACGATTGCGTGGAATACGCGGCAATCGTCAGATGAAATGAGCAGGCTCGCGTCCTCGAGCGCATAACCACACCACAGTAGCATGAATATGTAAACACAAGATTCACATCTCATATAAAAAGGTAATCAGAACAGGATAACATATACACTCCAATATAGACGTTTGAATATCATATAAATATATATATATATCTGCCAAGGTACATTAGGATCAAAGCATTAAAATCAAAGAACAGTTGATGAAGACCTAAGATCGGACATGGCCCATATTCATTGCCTTCCTTTAGAAGTTGTTGATTTAATTTTATTTTACTTCGTTAAAGACTTTGAAGAGACCTGGAAGAATTCTAGGAATAGTGCCAAACAGGCTCCTGTGCCAGACCATCTATTATTGGAACTGTTAAACTTACGATTGCTTGGAAAGTCTTGGGCGTTACGGGTCTTGCCATACGCTTATCAAAACTTACACTTTAGCTCGGCATTGAAAATGAACTCTTTCGTTGAGACTTGGAATAACTCGGCGACAATCTCGACCATGGCTCGATTGAGCCGCCTTAGCTTCGATCAGATTACTTGCCCAGATTTGGATTGTGAATTCGGGTCGGATCGAGTCAACATAGGTTCGCTTGCATCTTACCGGATTGATTTCGAAAAGGATAACTTCAATTATAAATCAATTATACTAGAGGACATTGAAGAAATTATCAAATTTTGTGGTCAAACCTTAGCAGGCTTAAAGTTTTCGTTCAAAGCGGGTGCGGGATTTACGCCCAATATCATTGAGTTGATAAAAGAGGTTAAAGGTCTAAGAGTGTTGATCATCGAGGCAAATCCCTACGGGGTAAGGCAGAATCACTCGAAATCGATCCGGGCTTTACTCAATGTTACGGCTGGGCTTGAATCGTTATCGCTTGACATTGGATCTATCGGAACTCTGGACTTAAGTGAAGAAGCGTTACCTCGCTTGAAGCACTTGTCAGCCGCATGCGATACAAACGACCTGGGAGCGATTACGGAGCTTTGCGAAACTCGTGGTCGGAACATCAGTTGCTTAGAGTACCTTACCCATCCCGACTGCGACCGAGCTGCAAAAGTTATTTTGGCTCTGCAAAATTCACTTGAGGTCTTATTCATAGAGTCAATTCCGAATCGTGTTCCGGCGGAGATAAGCGATTGGCATTTCCCGAAATTAAAAATTATACGGAGTATCAACTCGACAATAGAAAGTCCCAGTTTAGCTTGGCTACAATTAGGATTTGTAAAGAATATGCGAATTTACGTCACTGACTATTGGAGTTCTAAAAAATATTGGCGCAAAGGCCTGAAGGCACTTAAAGGCAAAGAACTCAAGAGACCTGTCGGGTTCAACAACATCGTTTTTATCACGGGGAAGGAACAGGACTTAGAGGAAAACAAGGAGCTAAAAAGGATTTTTGGTTATCATCAAATCCGTTGCCATTTCATACAGCAATTAGATTATGTTGAGTTGGAGGTAAATGATTTCGAAATTGAAAGAGAGGAAACTTTACTTTTGCTGACTTGGAACGGAATAAGTGACAGGCCTTAACAAACAACAATAGCGTGGAAGCCAACCGAGTACAAAGTAAACTGGCTTGAAGGTGAATGTGATCTGAGAGTTAGGGAAAAGGGATGTTGTGTTCGCTGACTTATGAACATCATCATGGCAGGCTTTGATTGACAGAAAACGTTTAAGTTGAACGATTGCGAAGGCCGATTGGGATCACGGTATCTGGGATTTGACTGGTGTGCGTGGTATACGAGAAACCGATCATGCTTTATGTGCGCGTTGGTACCGTGACCTTAACCAAGAATGACTGCCTAGAAGATGGTTCTTAAAATTGAATAAGAAATCCAGCCAATGAATATGTTGATGTAATTAGTTCAATGTTTGATTAAAAGTGACGCTTACTCTTGATGCATTTTGATAATTGAGGTGCTTCTCATTCGCGCTGGGATCTTATGCAAGGAGCTGGCTTAAAAAGATTGTGCCCACATGAATTGTTTTCTTTGTAAAATTTATGTATAATGACAAAAGGCGTTGCACAAGGGAATTTTGGCAAGACGGATGTTCACGCAGCGAAATGCATTGTGAGAGCATGAATGTCTTTGTCACAAGCATAACCTGTACGACTTTAAAGTACGTCATTATGAGCACGTTGGCCTGGAATGATGCGTAGCGTAGGCGCAGGTATACTCGCATGTAAGCTGATGTAGGGATGCACTGCCCATGGAGTTCAAGGCGGCGCCCGCCGCTGAGAATGCTAGTGTTTGATTGATAACTGGGAATGAATTGTTGGAAAGTGGAAAAAGGTTGGGAGGAATTGATGGAATTTTAGAAGGGGCATTCGAGTATGAGGAAGTTTAAGTATGAAGGAATAACCATCATCCAAATTAAATTGATACTTCATTTGTTCCTTGTACCTTTAAATCACCAAAGCCAGGATTAGGCACAGAATGATTGCACAGGAGAATATGCCGACTGACAGAAAAGCTGAGTGCCCTGGATTATGACATACACCCTCTACTCCGTGGATGATATTGATGTAGGACTTGGAGCACAGATGTTTGTCAAAGCCTTTTCGAGTGCCTGACAAGAAGCCTACATAAATATCTTTGAAGGACATTGGTTGACAGCCAGAGGGCTCAACTTGAGTATTGACGGCCAACAATTGATCATGATGCAGCTTGTTTATATACAGTCTGCATGTTTCGATGTGAGCTTCTTTTACTAACAACTTATCCCAAGGATTCAAGTCAATTCTCCAAGAAAGACTTCAATTCCTCCTAGTCATAGGTTGATAGATGAGACTTTGTAATTGATTGTAGTGCCTATTGGCCCCCAGTACCTTTGCTCATGGAAGACGGTCCAAAAAGGTCCAACAAACTTCTGCGTTCCTAAATCCATATCTACAAAGGACAGTGTATTTCTTTCGAAATCCAGGGATCTGAGCTTGTATGTCAGTCGGCATAACTTCTTGTGAAGTCATTCTTTTCTTGATTGAAGCTTTGCCTTTTCAAGGGACAAGGAACAGATTGCTCAGATATGAATCACGGTTGACAAGAAAATCAATACATTCCTTTATATCCAAACTTCATCATCACCACATTTCCCACAATTTCTCCACTTTCTTCACACATTATCTTGACTTTTTAAAATCAAAATCTCACCTATCCATCAAATTTTTATAAGGTGAGTTGAATGGATAGTTGTCCATTTCATGACATTCTAACCTTACATTTGAACCTTCTGATCCACAGAACCTCCCAAATCTACAGAAAAACCCTCAATCACGCAACAAAACAATCATGACTGCTACCCTTCAATCACCTTTATCAACCTTTGTGAGTGTTGACCTGTCCTTGATTATCATCCTACGCAATTCTCTTCCTTACAAGGATGTGATCAATTGGTTATATATAGAACGTCAAGCAATGTGGTGATTTTACGCCATACGACGGGAGATCATTAGTTGAATCCTCCGTCTATACCGAATCATCTTACGCCTCAGATCCTCGGCCATCCAGGTTGTACCTTAAATCTCCGTTCAAAAACGATTCGCCGCCTCAAACTGCTAGGACAAGAGAGACCTCCGAGGCACTTGACAAAATTTTACGAAACCAAGCTCAACAATTTTCAGCGATATGTGAAGTTTGGCGGTCTAAGTTCGCTTCAAGTCCTTTCATCCCGTCAATTGAAAAGCCAAAGCTTCCCGTCACCCGGACTAGAGCCACCTCTAATGCTCTGGAACGGATTTTGGCCCGGCAATCCGTTCATTTGACAAAGTTAGGAGAAGCATGGCGGAACAAATTCTCTTCAAGTCCATCAAAATTGTCGGACAAAAAAGGGAGAAGTGATGATATCATTGAAACAAGCGATCAAGATGACGTGGATTTTGGAAAGATGGTAGAAGATCGATTTGTTCAAAGCCATTATGAATTGGAACAGAGGGTGTTTAGATGGATGGACCATTTTCCAGAATCTTTTGATTATAGAGTTGAGGACATTGAGTCTTTGGACTTTTAAATTTGTTTTTTGATTTCATTTGTTTCCTGCAGTTATTCGGTTTTATTTGATGGATTGTTCTTCCTTAAGTTCTTGTTTTAGTATTTATCATGTCTTGAATTACTTTCTTCTCTTATCTCTTCGTTTTTTCTTGAGCATCTTCCCTTGTTTATGAAGCCTTTACAATTTTTGCAGTCTCCTTTATGATCTTGTTTGAGTTCAACTACAACTTTTTTGTAAGTCAGATACTTTCCATCTCGTTTATCGACTCTTCGTTTGCATTGTTATTTCCAAGGAATCATTACTTTGGTCACATCGTCAAGCTTTCGATTTCTTCATTGTTTTCAGTTCACAAAGTATTCGATACCAAGCTTCCTTTATAGACTTTTAGGAAATATAAGGGATTTTATGGAGAGTGCAATGTTCATGTATAGCAAACAAAACTGATCGGCCATCCGTTTGATGTTCTGATAGGTTTAAGATGGATCAGTGATATGCATAACTATACATTCCCGAGCTCTCAGTGAATACTCTGTTGTAGAAACATTGTGAGTGTCAATACTCGATGAGCCTGTTGACCATTTGGAACAAAAGATGACATCGAGTATCACTATCACGATACTCAAAACTGTTGACCACAAATCAGATCACATCCATTGATTATCATCATTTTATAAGATGCAAGGTGTTGTTCAGAGCTATCAGGGCTTCTCGATGATTGCTTGCTGAGACACCTTGGTCTAGCTTATCCTTGTACTTTGTGTTGAAATCTAGCTCTCCTTGTATCGCATCATGTTAGAGTACACATTAGGGCAGTTCAAGTTTGAGACCGCGAGCAGGTGAATTTCACCGAGCAATCATGATTTTTAAGGCGCGAGCATGCCTAAAAAGCCTGCTCGATTTGCTCAAAGTGTTGTAAATATAAGTTTCAACGTCTTTCCATGACAGGCACAGAGAGATTCAACTGCCTTCCTCTTTCTCTTTGCTACCTTTTCTTTTTTTCTAAGATGCTTGATCATGGGTCGTCCAGTTGGTAAAAAGGATCAGACCCATAACTCAACCCGCTGTTGAGTCTCGCTCTGTGTTATCGTTTCCATCTCTCCATCTTCGAATAACTATCATAACCATCATCTGAACCACCTCAATGCCCCGATTATCACAGCGCGCCAAGACTATACAAGAACTCACCGACATGTGCATCTTTGCGCATGCGGACATGCAGATATCTTTACCTATCATTGATGGCAATGACGCCGACGATCTTCCCACTGATGGGACTTTATTTTTCCCTGATGATCCGGAAGATGCAGAGCTATATGACCTACTATTTGATGAAGAAGAGGACTGGGCCAATCATCTCACCTTGATTTCAACTACCAGATACTTGGAGCCACGTTTCCAAGCACCTCTTGCCAGTCCTTTCAACTTGAAGGACATGTTGCGCAATCGACGTACCGATTTTCGACAAGCGATGCGGACTTCTCCTGAAGGCTTCGCCGCGCTACTTGCTATGATCAAAAACCACCCAGTCTTCTTTTCCACAAGTCGAAATCCACCGCCTCCTGTAGAACACCAATTAGCCATCACCTTGGAACGTTTGGGAAGCAACGGAAACGGTGCCTCGGTTGGAAGATTTGCTCGGAATTACAAGGTTGGACGTGGAACGGTGATTAACTGCACTCGTCGGGTCATTGAAGCCATCTTAGACAAAGTAAGGACTTACCTGAAATGGCCCAACTCGGAACGACGTCAAGGAATCTCTCATGTACTTGCTCAAGACGGCTTTCCGGCATGTGTGGGGTTTGTGGATGGGACCACAATTCCCTTGTTTCAAAGGCCAGGGTTAGATGGCGAGACATTCTTTGATCGAAAACATAACTACTCGCTCAATCTTCAAGTCATCTGCGATTGTGATCGGAGAATAACTTATGTTTATGGTGGCTGGCCAGGTTCGTGCTGTGATAGCACTGTTTTCAACAAGTCGGACATTGCTACAAATCCCAATAAGTATTTTGACAAAGGTGTGTACATTTTCGCCAAATTGAACTGTTGAGATAATTTCTAACTAATCCAACTTTTTGATATCATCCAGGGGAATACCTGATCGCAGACTCGGCCTATACTCCAACAGAAACAGTTGTCCCTTCTTACAAAGGACAGGCTGCCGAAGTCGATAGAAATCGGCAATTCAACTGGTGTGTTGCTAAAGCTCAAATTCGTAATGAACATTCAATTGGTGTATGTAAACTTCGCTGGGCTTCACTTCAATGCCTACGGCTAGCTTTGAACAAGCGGGAGGATATGGATCATGTATTGAGATGGATTAGATGTTGTGTCATTCTCAACAATATGTTGGCAGACTTTGGCAACGCCTGGAGTGATATTGAAATGGAAGTGATGCTGGCTGAAGTAGGTGCACCAGCAGTTTCAAGCATTATGGCCATGGATGACCACTTAGACGTGAGTGCGGTGGAGCGCGGAAAAATGATGAGAGAGATGGTACGGGATCATGCAGTGGCTTACAATTGGGAAAGTGGTGGTCTCCCAATTGTGGATTTATAAGTTATTTATTTAGTCATATGTTTGCACCTTTTATTTGTCTTCATTGTTCTTACAAGAGGATGACCTTGTTTTCTTTGATCATTTGTGTGAAATGTTTATTTTTGGTCTTTTGTTGGTTTATGCTTTGACACATTTTACCTTTCTTTTTGTGGTCTCTTTTTTGTTTTCAACTTGTTGAGCTCGGCTCAAATAGAAGGACTTCATGTTTAGTTCGACAAAGGTAAGATTACATTTGGATCACACGCATATCACGTCGACGTCGACATGAGAGCACTACTCTCAATTGACGTCGACGTGAACAGATTTTCTTCAATCAAAGTCGACGTGAGAAGCTCTTCTCTGTCGATGTCAACAAGGATTGTATATTTGGTTTGACCAAATACATTTCAATCGCACGCAAAGAAAGATCTCTCTCAAACATAAGAAGGGACAAGATATTTTTATGTATTTTCATATTTAACTCTACAACAGAGTGTACCAAAAGTGAAAATGAAAAAGGAAACATTTTTTTGAAGTTTAATTTAGTTTTTCAGAGTGAAAGGAAAAGAAACAATACTCTATGAAAGCAAAATACATATTCCATTTGATCCTATGCTGGAGAGAATAAGGGTTTTTCTCTGTCACAACAATGATAAAAATCCTGGTTCTGTGTAGATTGCAAGAATTTTTGGAAGTGTTCATGTTTGGATGATGTTTTGCACAATGTTTTGCATGATGTGGAAGTGTTGATGTGGAAATGTTGGACTTGACTGAATCGAACAAGCCGAGTGTTTGATTTCAGAAATGGAAAGTGGAGAGGTGAAGTGGTTTGACTGAATCGAACAAGCCGAGTGTTTGATTTCAGAAATGGAAAGTGGAGAGGTGAAGTGGTTTGACTGAATCGAACAAGCCAAATGTGTTTGATTGGAGAACTGGGAAGTGGTTTGATTGGTTTTGTGAATTAATCGAGCCAAGTGTTTGATTGGAGAAATGGGAATTTGATACTTGATGATTTGGTCGGCTAAGTGGTTTGATTGGTTTTGAGCTTGCTACACATGTTGCTTGATTGTATTACTGATTCTGAGTGAGATAGAAGAACGAGATCAAATTGAAACAAAGATTGAAGGCTACTAAGGCTACCAGTTACTGAAGTTCAAAAAGTTCAAAAAGTTCGAAAAGTTGCTGATTCTGAGTGAGATAGAAGAACGAGATCAGATTGAAACAAAGACAAAGATTGAAGGCTACTAAGGCTACTATTTACTGAAGAGCAAAAAGTTGCTGGTCCTGAGTGAGATAGAAGAGCGAGATTTGAGAAGGCTGGTCTGAGGGATGAATCGAAAAGCTAGACTGAAGATTACAAATGGATAAATAAAAATTGATGATTTGAAGGATACTGAATTGAAGGGTCAAAGTCAGGAAGGGCTCCAAAACACAGAAAGAATAAGATAGAAGGGAATAAATACTACACACCTGTTATATCATTCATCTTTTGGAAAGATGACATTGAGATAATCTCGCACCTCTTCTGCTGACTTGCCACCAAGCGCCAAATCCTTTGCAACTTTACTTCTCTCGCGTGCTTCTTCCATTTTCTTCGTAGCCACAGCCAAAGTCTTAGCTTCATTACGTTCATTATAATATTGCTCTCTTTCCCAGTCCAACCTAGATGTCTTGATATTGGTCTTCTCAGCGGTCAAACGGGCTTTGGCTTCGGCCTTCTTCTCTTCAAATGAATGTCGCCAATCACTGTTGCCCTTCAGGATGGTCATCTTGGCATCGTTCCCACTCTGGACGGCTTGTGCGACTGGATGCTTATGCTCTTTGATGCGGACGTTCGAAGGGTCTATCGAGGGTAAGGGATCCAACGGGCGACCTGCTAAAGTGCCTCGATAAGGCACTACAGCCATAGTTCCCTCGGCTTCACCTTCCGAGTCGTCTAAGGCACGCTCAGCAGATGTAAGTCTGTCCTTGCGGACCGCTGGTGTAGCCCGTTTACGTTTGGGACGGCTAACGCTGGTCGAAGTGGAGGCTCCAGATGCTGTATTCAAGGTTGAGGCTTTAGATGCCTTGGTCGAAGTCAAGGCTTTAGATGCCTTAGTCAAGGCCATAGTTCCCTCGGCTTCACCTTCCGAGTCGTCTAAGGCACGCTCAGCAGATGTAAGTCTGTCCTTGCGGACCGCTGGTGTAGCCCGTTTACGAGTGGGTCGGCTAACGCTGGCCAAAGTGGAGGCTGCAGATGCCTTAGTCAAGGCGCTAGATGCCTTGGTCAAAGTCGAGGCTCCAGATGTCTTGCTGACCGGTTTGATATTGACGTTCTGAGACTTTGGAGTCGCTCGAATCCGTGAATTGAGAGGAGGAGTTAAAATGGGAGGCAGGTAGTCACTGGTACTATTGATGCGGCGCTTGAAGTTCAATAGCTCTTGATCAGATTCAGAGTTGGAGATGACAATTTCTTTGGCACCAAGTAAAGGAATTTGAGGCTTGACGTCTAAGTTTTCATCCTCTCCTAAATCCACAAATTTTCCACCTTCTCCTAATTCTTCATCTTCTTCTAATTCTTCATCTTCTTCTAATCCTTCTTCTTCTTCTAATCCTTCTTCTTCTCCTAATCCCTCATCTTCTCCTAATCCTTCATCTTCTCCTAATTCTTCATCTTCTCCATCCTCAATCAAACCACTATCCATCACACCAAAAGGGTTGACGTTCGCCTTGTCCTTGAAAATCGTATCCATCTTTGAATACATAGGGCATAACATCTCAAGTTTATCTTCTGGTTTGATTCCACGCTTACATTCCTCATCAGTCACCCCAAAACCGGTCCCTCGAGCTCTACGCTTTGTCGCCATGTATTTGCCTTTGTATCGGATGATTTGCAGCTGGAGTACACGTCCAGTGAGTCGCATCGCAGTAGTGTTATGGCGCCGATTGTAGTCGTTGTTGATTTGACTGGCTAGGTTGTTGCACAACTCCTTTGCACCCTGTCCAACAATTTTGGTCTTACTCCCACCACCGAAAATCGCGTTCCGGAAGTTGGGACGACTCAAATGATCAACAATCTCTTCCCAGTCCACCATATCAAAATTTGGGTTGATGTAACCTAGTTTACGCGGGGCTTTTGAGCTAGGTGCTCCTGAAGACGGAGGCGGCTGGGATAGGAGTTTACGGCGAGCTTTCTTTGCTACACTGGAAGTTTGAGGTTGAGATGCTGATGCTTGGACCGGCTGACCACGAGCACGAGCTTTGCTGGCATTAAGTGATCGGCAAACTTCTGCGGCCGTAGGCTTGCCTTTGCCCGTGCATCCACTAGCAATAAGATCTTCTGCAACCTGGGCATCAGTTCTGCAAGGTCTGCGGGTAGTCTAAAACAGTTGTTTGGTGTTAGCCATCATTGTTGGACAGGAGAATAAACTTGGAAACTCACTTGATCTTGCATTGCGTCCAAAACTAGCTTTGAGTTGAATGAAAATAGCTGTCCGATCGGATAAGATCTTGAGGTCGAAAAATTGATTGATTGATTAGGCTAATCGGATAAGGGCTTGATTTCGATTTGGATCAAAAGACGATATGAATGAGATCGGATAAGATCTTGAGGTCGAAAGCTTGATTTTGATTTGAATATGATCAAAAGAAATGAATGAAATTGGATAAGATCTTGAGGTCAAAAGCTTGATTGTGATTTGAATATGATCAAAAGACGATATGAATGAGATCGGATAAGATCTTGAGGTCGAAAGCTTGATTGTGATTTGAATATGATGAATCGATATGAATGAAATCGGATAGGATCTTGAGGTCGAAAGCTTGATTGTGATTTGAATATGATGAATTGATATGAATGAAATCGGATAGGATCTTGAGGTCGAAAGCTTGATTGTGATTTGAATATGATGAATCGATATGAATGAAATCGGATAGGATCTTGAGGTTGAGGTGAATCAAAAGAATTTGAATACGATGAATCAAAAGAAATGGAATCAGATAAGATCTTGAGGTTGAGGTGAATCAAAAGAATTCGAATACGATGAATCAAAAGAAATGAAATCAGATAGGATCTTGAGGTTGAGGTGAATCAAAAGAAATGGAATCAGATAGGATCTTGAGTTAAAAGGTTGATTTCGATTTGAATCAAGGAGGAGGATAGGAGCTTGAGTTGAGAGCTTGAATGAAATTGAATGAAATTGGTTGAAATTGGTTGAGTGATGGATGAGACGGTTGAGAGAAGTTGAGGATGAGAGATGGATGAGAGAAGTTGAGGATGAGAGATGGATGAGAAAGGGTATTCGAGGAAAAAGGGTTATGGAGGAAAAAGGGGTGATCGAACGGGTGAGAAACGGTGAGAAAGGGTGATCGAACCGGTGATCGAGCGGGTGACAGCAGGGCAGAGCATGTGAAAGGTGGTGAAACCTAAGGTACAGTGATTTTGTTTTTTTTTTGCACCTCTGTCCTCTTACCACCGGCTTTCACCGGTTTTTTTGCGTTTGAGCCAGAAGTTGTAAAAAATTATAAGACAAGTTATAATTTTTAAGTCAGCGAGCCACCTCGAGTGATGGCTCGGAGGTCTTAAAATTAAGGTTTTTTTTAAGGACAACAATCATGTTGTAAAACGTAAAACTTGTCTTAAAAAACAAACTTGAACCGCCCTATTGTATCTTGATTCTTCATACAGTGGTGGTGGCGTAGGACTGCACGATTCCCTGGAGTCGACCCTGCTGCTAATTGGTAAAAATTTGGTACTGTGGTTGATTTGCACTTGAGTTTAGTCTGAGCTCCCCGAACTCGATGACAGTCCATCAAGTTCGCTCGCTCTTTTGATGATTAGGACTGAAGCCTTGATTCCTCAATCTTAGATCTTCATCGCATCTGACCTTTTCGAACTCACTATAGCATCGATCAAGATGGAGAAGCCAGGACAAGCCGAAGAGCAACTTCCAGCAAGTCAAGCAGCTTTACACACTCATGAAGATACATTTTCTCGTCTACCATATGAGATACTTCTCGCAATTGCAAGATATCTTCTTGATGACCCCGTCACAACTGAGAACAATCGTTGCAAGAAGATCGAGCAAAGCATCAATCTCACTTCGGGAAAGAAGACTTCAGTATGGGTCTATCAACACAAACCCGAATCTCCTATCATGACTAGCTTTCAAGCATTTTCCGTTGTGAATCGTAGGATCTACTCTATCTGTTTACCTATCATATGGAGGGTGAGTTGAATCTGGTATATCGAAGCTACCCAGACAAATCCCTGATATGTACTGATCATCATATAATATCCTTTGCTATCCCTGTATTTCGCTACACCGGCGCTCCAGTCCCTCCAGTTTCCTTCCGGATTATCGAGTCCAATGTCCATCTGGACTGAGGAGATTCTGCCAAAACACGGATCACATGTTAAAGCATTAAAAGTGGGGTTAAGATCGGAATGGTTTCAAAGGTTCTCGGTCAGAGGCAAAAATCAAACCCGGTATTCACTCCGATCTTCCGATGTTAACAAAATCAAATTTATCGAACAGGATATGGATTTTAGTCAAGTTGATCGGGTCCATTCTGACAATCTAAACGTCTCGACTAATGGATGCATGTATCTTTGTATGAATATGGCTATGCCTACGGAGAGACACAATTTCTTGAGCGACATATTTGGTCTCGGTCCTAAAAACCTCTCAACAGTGCTTTCTTATTGTCAAAATCTTACCGCGCTGTGCCTCGATTGTCCGGCCGATGGGAACGAACCCCTCACAACAAAACATACGAATAACCTCCGTCGAAATTTAATTTCGTTGTTTTCCGATCTCAAGCGTCTTCAACATCTTACAATCCGAGGTCCACTTGTCATATCCATTTTGGCAGAGTGTGTCATTGAGCCCATCACACATTGCCCACTTCTCGAATTCCTCGAGCTCACGTATGTTGGGGCGTATGCTGGGGCTGATGACCGATCCGAGGTTGAAACTCTTGCTACCACTATTTCTAATCTCAAAGATCTCAAACAACTTATTCTGAAGGAAGTCAACGTCATAGACACCTCTTGGGCCTATCATAAACCACCTCCTCACTTAGTCGGCCTTATCATCCTTGATTGTGTCAATCTTTGTTTGTCAGATGTGCCTCAGTTTCTCAGTGCCTGGGGTTCTCAACTTACTCATCTAGAACTTAAAATCCATGAAGAGTCCAGTTTCTTGGGATCGGACAACCAGGCGCTCAATCAATTTTGTCTCCCGGCTTTAACTCATTTGACCATATGGTCTTACAGTAGATTTCAATTCATGCACAGCTTTTCCAATTGCAAAAAACTTCGCCATCTCACCTTTTATTACCATGTAGATTATGACTCGGATCATGATCCAGATAATCAGAGAGCTACATTATTGGCACTTCCTGACTTCATCACCGGCAACGAGTTTCTTAATCTCAAGAAGTTTACTATAAAGATAGAAGAAGAGACGCGACTTGAAGACGATCTGCATGATGTAGTGACTAAATTGAGAAAGTTCTGTAAATCTAATAATATCAGATTCAAGGTTTTTCGGTTTGACGCCAATGAGAAGCTTTTTTTACATGATGCAATACCCTTCAGACCCTAAGATTCAACTTTAAATCTAATTCAATTGATTGCAATAAACATAATGCTTACGGCTGAAAAGGTTTAAAGGTCTTCCCTTGAATCACTTTGAAGATGTCAATATAGATAATAAACAAAAGCAAATCATATGCTTTGTGATCTTTTCACACTTTGATCTCAAGTGTAAACAGCTGCTATCTGCCTCTCTTTAGTGCTGTGTGAAAAGGTTGTAATGGGTCGTGGCTCTGTGGGCGCGTATCACTCTTATTTCTGAGAATTGATAGGGTATCACTTAGAGATTTGATTCCTCCCATATCTTTCAAGGTTTAAATTATGCATATCTTTTGATGGATAATTAAGTCACATTGGCCAATTCTAAAAGGTTTCAAGATATGGTTTCATGTTTGTTTGTCAGAGACAGCAGTTGTAGATCCTTTTGATTCTGAAGTCGTCAGGACAGCTTCTCAAGAAGAACTTAACTCAACAGGATCAATCTACAGCTCATCATCAGAAAAGTAAGGTCCCTTTGAGAACTTTTATTCCTTGAATTCAATGGACCAATTCACCCTTGGATCCTCGGCCATATGCATAATTCAGATCACGGACAGATCATTCATATAGAAATGTGAAGTTAAAAAAAGGTCATGAACTCATTTGTAAAGTATATGTTGGTATGAAGTTAATATTTAAGTGACTTGTGGATTACCACAGGACCCTGGGAGGCCCCTATAAAGGGTGGTGACAATCCAAGGCTCTTTTTGAGCTCTCTCCTGGGTTTAATCTGTTTACACATACCACATGTGGTGTTCACTGTGATCTTGGGTGTCCTTTTGAATACTTTGACTACTGCTAGATAGTGGTTTTGATTACACCTTGACTAGATAAAACCAGCTTATCAATGCTGAGGAACAGCTAGTGGATCACCAAATTACACCTTAAACATTTTCTAATGTGATGGTTGGCTCAAATCAAATTGTCTTAGAATTGTGAATGTATCCAATATTGACTTGGGATTATGGATCAATGATGAAGTAGCAGGTAGAAAACAGCAAGGAATTATTAGATCAATTTGATACAAAATTTCCCGACGCAGCAAATAGACATAGAAGGACGCGGAGAAAGAAATGAGAGGGTAAGCTTTTTCCCCACGGGGTTTTTTAATGCTACCCGGGGAGGAACGCAGAACTTTCAAGAGGGAGTTTGGGCGTAAAAATACAGGTGTGTTATGATCTCACTTAGATAACAGAGCGGTGAAAGGCCCAGTACTACATGTCACAGATTAGAGTCTATACTATACTCCATTCATATTGTACATCTCTCTTTTCTCTTCATCCGACAATCTGCATAACTAGAGTAGATCCTGGTAGAAAGACCCAACCAGCCCTCGTCTCACACCCACAGGACAGTCCTAACAAGGTGGTACTCTCTTTGTTTCAGTTTGTGGAAGGTTTTTTGAACACTTACCATCTGATACAATCAGCCATGGAGGATAGATATATGTTTTCCAGCATTAAAAGGTTACCTTCACCATCATTTTCACCTATACTGGACTGAAGTTTTCTTGCAGTGAACAACAGATATACATAAATCTGATGTTGCTTGCTCAGCATCTATTGAGCCTGAACATCAAGCCATCCTGAAGCTTAGGGTGAAATTTGTGTTGATCAATTCAATCATCACTGGTAAATTTACCATCCAAGATGAAAAGCAAGTCATCTTATTTTCTTCTGAAACTAACAAGAGGGGGTTTTCAACTTGACCAATATGATTTTGATTTTGTTTCTATAGAGCTTTTAGTGTATCTTTGAGCCAGGATTGACCTGAAGCAATCAAATCAACTGACATGAAACCAAAAAATGTGATGGAGAAACTTATACAGTAATGAAAAATTCATTCAAAACTTAAATTTCAACTTTTGAGTTTCCCATTTTTGTTCAAATAAAGCATTTCACATATTTCAACATCTTTCTTGGAATTGTTTACTTACACCTAAGATTAAGAAAATCTTGTCATCAAGAAATCAGAGTTTGATCCACAGATAAGAGTTCAAGATGTTGATGGGTTTGGAAGCACACCATGCTCTATGTAAGAAATTTCTCAAATCTTTCCAGAAAGCCTTAAGCACAACACCAACACTCTATTGGTCTGTAGCTGATTTATCTTCACAATGTCTTTTGACATGCTGGTTGTTCCCAGGACAGTGCTGTGTTCTCTTGATTTTCTTGTTGTCATGCTTGTGTTGTACTTGTCAGTGTTGTGTGCTGACTGAATCTGATATGCCATTGGGCTTCAGCTTTCTATGAATCCATTTGTGTCTTAGGAGCTGGCCACCTAACCTTGTAAGATGTCTGACTCAAACTCTTTGAAATGTATCAGAAAAGGATTTATATACACAGTGGCAAGTCTTGTTCATTATCATTGTCATCTATAATGATCATATCTATATAGCTCACTGCCAGCATTATAGAGGTTCCCAGATGTGAACATGGATCCTAGGGACAAAATTCCTCATCCGCTAATGTTAAACAGCTTCATGAATATTTCCCAAGTACATAGCCATTGCAATACATGTAGTCAATTGTTTGAAATGCTTGTTGCAAGGTTTGTATAACCTTCACTTGAAACACAACAAAGGGATACTGTGAAGCACATCAGGACAGGTTTTTCTAGAACCCAAATGAGTCTATGAATTACAAAACCAACAGATAAGCCCAGTAAAGAAGACTGGTCCTGAAGGATATGAGGGGGGAAAGTCAGTACCAAATCACTCTAACGACTGAACCATAACCACTATTATGAAACAAAATAAGATAAATGATAAGCTAATATGTGTACCTGGTTTTACAGGATATGCGGTGGGAAAGTCAGTCTCAAACCACTAAGGAACCAGAGCGTAGAGATTGAAAACAAAGTATATGTTATGGATGTCTATTATGTGACAGTGATTGTAAATGACATCATGTTGTTATGCTAATTACATTTCTCTCTATCAATATCTTTATAACCTATTAGCATATTGTTATATATCTATTGTAGATTTGGTTGTAGATGGATTGGTCTTTCCTCACCTTTCCTATATCAACTAACATTTCTATATCAGGTTAGTTATACAAGTATGCAATCTTACCTTTCCTATATCAACTAACATTTCTATATCAGCTGTGATCCATCTTATCAGGTTATGAGCCCCATCACGCAGATTTTATAAGAAAAATCAAGCTGAAAACCGTCTTCGAAGACTATCGAAAATCATCGATAGTAGTAGAAAGGCCGTTGCTATTTGCAGCCCACAAGAAAACCATGTAGGCGCTGGCCAAATTACGCCTACATGGGTGTTTCCCACGAAGAAGCGCCTACATTTATGATGTAGGCGCTGGAAACCATCCAAAATGACGCCTACATGGGTTTTTTAACGTGTAGGCGTCATTTGGTTACGCCTACATTCAAAAATTGAAATGTAGGCGCTATTTTCGAGCGCCTACATGGGAAATCCAATGTAGGCGCTCAAAATTTATGCCTACATTTTTAAAAGTGAGTGCATACATTCAATTTTTGCGCTCAAATAAGCGCCTACATGCAGTCCTGCATATGTAGGGGCTACAAATCCGGCAACTACAGCTCCAGACTGGTCTGAAGGGTAATGGAGAACAATTTGCAAGTCAAAATGAGAGTATTGGAAGACGGAAAAAGCAGCTTGGACTCAAAATGAGTGTATTGGAAGATGGATAAAGCAGTTTGGAGTCAAAATCAGTGTATCAGAAGACGGAAAAGTCACGCCGGAGTCAAAATGGGTGTATCAGAAGACGGAAAAAGTAGTAAATTATTTCAACTCTGAACTCAGTTTGGAGTCAAAATGAGTGTATCAGAAGCGGAAAAAGAGGTAAATTATTTCAACTCTGAACTGCTATTTATGTCTTCTGATACGCTCACTTCAGAGTTGAAAAGAGCATATTCATCTTCCAATACGCTTAACTGCTTTTTCTGTCTTCCAAAACACTCATTTCAACTCCAAGCTGCTTTTTCCATCTTCCGATACACTCATTTTAACTCCGAACTGCTTTTTCCGTCTTCCAATACTCTCATTTTAACTTGAAACTTCTTCTTCATTAGCCGTCAGACCAGTCTGGACTTGTAGTTGTTGGATTTGGAGCGCCTACATATGCAAGACTGTAAGTAGGCGCTTATTTGAGCTGAAAATTGAATGTAGGCGCTCGAAAATAGCGCCTACATTTCAAATTAGATATGTAGGTGCTCAAAAATTACGCCTACATTCTGGAATTTTGAATGTAGGCGTAACCAAATGACGCCTACATGGGTTGTTTATCATGTAGGCGTCATTTTAGATGGTTTTCAGCGCCTACACCATAAATGAAGGCGCTTTTTCGTGGGAAACACCCATCTAGGCGCTGTTTTGGCAGCGCCTACATGGTTTTCTTGTGGGCTGCAAATAGCAATGGCCTAGTAGAAAACCGGTTTTAGAAAACTTTGGAAAGTTCCGTCTGTAAACAGACGATAAACTAGGATCGATCGATCCACAAACTCCGACAAATCTCCGACTAACTTGTTCAAATACACAAAAACTTTAATATATGCTGTATTTTGAACTCTATCTAATAACTCTTCTCTCGATATCGTTAAACTTCTTATCCTCGTTATCTTTGATGTCAAATCCAAGTGCCACTGCTGGTGAAAGACTGTTCCGTTGGTTTCTACGTCTTCTTCTACGTCACGTGTACCTGGATCGTCTTCTCGTCTGAGAACTAGTGTCGAAACCAAGCCGTCAACCAATATGTCGTTCAATAACGAAAAATTGGAT